GATAAGAAGGCATTTTATGACTCCAACCGATACTTAACATACAATAAACACCGAATTTTATTCAGTTTATCATGATTTTGACCGAATTCTTATTATAACGGGTCTCAAATTGACGTAGAATGTCATTTTTTTTGATAATGATTGAGTGATCGAGTAAGGTCAAGTGAATTTAATATAAAATTATTCATTATTTTCTATTTTTATTATACTTTACTTAAAACCAATAAAAAATAATGTACCTAGTGAAAAAAATTCACAGATTTTGCAACATGCGCAACCATCATAGGCGTATTGAAAATATGTATATATATATATATATATATATATATATAGAGTATATATATATATATATATATATATATATATATATATATATATATATATATATATTATAGGGGAAACCAAGCGAAAGAATGTTGGCCGCCGCAAGACGTCTACCATTCTGTATGCTTCCGAGGTCTGGGAAGGGCCGTTGAAGTGAAGAAGAATAGGGAAAGGTTAAGGGCAGTTCAAAGGCGATTGGCACTGCAAATATGTCGAGGGTACCGCACTATATCAGCAGATGCGGCAGAAGTAATGAAGTTGCATGATACCGATAGATCTTCTAATACAAGAGAGGATGCAGAGAAGGCGTAGTCCGGATAGTTCGCGAGAGAATAACCGGGAAAAAATACTGAACACACATGGAGCGACAGATGGAAACACAATGTAGACGGGAGAAAGCGCAGGACAAGACAACTTATACCACATAGGCAGAAACTGGATGAGACCGGAGCCATGGAGAAGTTACCTACGCTATGACACAATGTTTATCAGGACACGGATGCTTCAAGCGAATTACTTATATAAATGAAATTTCCTACCGATAGTCCAAAATGCATCTACGGTGACCACGATAACGACACAGCAGAGCACACAATCCTGGAATGCAAAAGGTGGACCTATGAAGAAATAAATTAATGGAGAGTCTAAATACAGAGAAACCCCAATTTATGACTAACTTGGTTCCAACGATGCTTAAGTCAAATGAGAACTGGAAAGCAGTCCGGGAAATATATGGAGGCACTGATATCTGCAAAGGAAAACAGAAGCCAAAAGGTTTGGAAAGTAAAAAAGAAGAATAATTTGAGTGTACTTACCACAAAGCTGCTGCTCTAGTACTGCTTTGTACTTACACACTCGCTAGTGTCCAACTTTGACTGAAGTGCTCAATTACCTGTAACATCACAATAAAACTGCCTCCCCCCAGAAGTAATGCCGAAAGGTAGTTCCTTGGGGAGATACTCGAAGCGGTTTTGTGGAGGTTTTTTAGTCGGTAAGGTACCTCAACCACCCCGGACAGTGTGTACAACTTACGGTCTCTGGTTTGCAGATTTTTCCACAGAAAAAAAAAAAAAAAAATATAATATATATATATGCTATATATATATATATATATAGCCTTAGCAGTATGCTGTTGCTGGCGCATATATATATATATATATATATATATATATATATATATATATATTTATATATATAATATATATATGAAAAGAAGCTGCAAACTAAATTATCGTCGAACTATATTTTAATTTGCCGCCGAAGTTGTTGAAGGAATGCTATTGTATTACAATAATTGTAAAACAAGTATGTAATAATAACTCGGAATAATTATTAAAAACTGCTCATCTTGTTATAGATGTCGGCGTCTTGTCTCTATTATTTTATTAGCCGTTTAGCTATAGTTTGATTTCAGATAATGCAGATTTTAATGTGCCATTTGTGTTTTTTTATTGGAATTATTATTTTTTAGCATATTTGATATACTCTATGAAGTTATTTTTAAAGTTCTGTCCATTTTTCAATTATTAAAGTGCTTTTAGATACAATTAAAATTAATTTAATTGGTGTATAGTATTTGTATTATGGGTTTGTTTATTTTTTTATGAAATGAATTTTTTTCTATTAAAATAAATTCAAAGCTTACTAAATCACTAGATAGCCATTTTAAATACAGGATGTTAATTAAGTATCTGGTCAAACTTCAGGAGGTATCCTTTATGAATGTTTTTAAGGTAAAAGTTCATATAAACATGTGCCCGGAAATGTATAATTTTCAAGATACAGGGGTGTCAAGGTGTTTTTCAATAGCAAGACCTATTAATATCTCAAAGATTTTGTTGTTGGCTGATTTTGTTGAAATTTCGCCATGTTGTAAAAATTTAATAAGTTAGCACTAATTAAATGATAATTATTATTTACAAGCAATATTTAAAACGAAATAAAACTTATCCCCAATAAATATTGGCACCGCCTTGAATTCATTTGTTTTTACTGCTTGACGGTGGAAACCATGCAAGCTTTTTCTTTGTCCTAAGTTGTTAATTAAAAAAATTAGTATCATATAAAAATATAGGTCCTAATAGCCTAAATTTTATCAAAATATATCCAGCAGATCCGATGAGACCCGAATTATTATATGTTTTGAACTTAATGATTTAATTAATCATTCCCTTTAATGCATCCATTGTGCGCATTATCCTACGCGCCAAGAAAAAATATTGCATTAGTCTAAATTTATTATTTATAAGATATCTCGCTCTTTCACGTATAATGTGCCCCTCTGCTTTTCATTTACGGAAAGAGTTAAAATAGTCCCACTGTACCACAACAACCATGCATGCCTTGACGCATATTCTTTTTATAATACTATCGGCTTTCCCAGACTAATCATCCATATCCATAAAATAGTTGGCTCACACCCATAATAAGACCCTCATTTCTGGCCCTAGGACGCGCCCTTGGTCTATTCAGCTATCGACTTACGTGTTGACAAGTTGATTAGGCAGGTTATTGAACTCCATGTCGCCTCTAGCATGTCGTTTTTTCAAAGATGGGTCCCATATAAACGCGGCCAGAAGTATTTTCAATACTAAAAAAACAATCCAGTGCAAAATATTCCCCGAAAAGTGCTCGAATATAATAAGAATAGTCCAAGATCCCAGAGCGATCAGACAATAACTTATTTTTACAAGGATGAAACGTCAGGCTCTCAGTAGTGCTCTCATGTGCTTTGAATACCGGCGGGTTTGTGAGGTTCACCCTGTGACACCTTGGCAGATACAAGGTGAGAAAGGTTACTAAACGAAATAAATGAACTTTACTTATTTTTACATGTCTGTTTTTGACATATGTTATTAAGATAGTTATTAGAAAGTTATATTTAGTCAGTCAGACAGATTGTATTGACTAAACATCCTCTAAGTACAAAAATTATTTAGCCATGACTATGAGCGCGGGAGAATTATGCGCTTCCCCTTAAAGTATTGTTGCGGGCCGGTGTGGACTCGACCTAACCTCACAATATGGCCCGCCCTCGGATGACCTTAACATCGCATAGACACCGCAATGATTCATTCGTTCGAGAAGAATCGAGTTCCACTGGAATGGACTAGTACATACGAGAACATTCGAAAACCTTCTATACGCACCTAACGATCTATGGACTATTCTAGAGTTCTTTACCTGTCGGTATAAAAGCCGGCGGCGGTGGCCTACAGGGGGCAGTTATAAATATAGAGGAAAGGGTGGTAATATGGAACCCTTGTTTGTTTATATTCGATAACTCAAAAATTTATCATCAATTATTTTTCAAATATATCGCTCATGTATGCCTAATATATATAGAATTATTATTTGTTTTTGGAATTTAAATAATGCTTAAAGTTTTTTCATAATTAACTAATAATATAAAATAGTACAAATTATCTAACTGTAAAAAGTAGCTGATAATATGGAACCCCCTATAATAAACCAGATATATTTAAAATTGTAGCGATATTTATTCACTATATTCAAAAAATGCAAAATTAACAAAAAATAATTCAAATCAACGAAACTTATTGACAAAAATCACAGACCCAGTCGGCTTTTTCACAACCAGAACACAGAACAAGTGCCCATAATTGACACATAAGGCACTGGATCCATTTTTCTCCTTTCCTGTCTTCCAAAAATCGTTGTGAGCAGAATATGCACTCAGCATCATCATCTGTCCTGGAAGATATGTTATCAACTGAGCTTTCCATATCACTTGAAGTAACTGTGCCATCGTGAACCGATTCATCTGAATCAGAGGATTCCGAAATCTTTCTTTTTCTTTGAATTCTCTTTGAACTAATTTTGAGGCTAAGCGCCGTTTTCTCAGATTGTTTTAAAGTTGATGGCTTACCGCTAGTCTTTACAATATCCGTGCTTTTGAACCCACGAGACTGAAGACTCGCAAATGTTTTTGTGCTACCTGGTTTCGACGAGAGCGAATTCTCCAAATCTGTTTTATATGGAGAGCTTGTAATTACTGCAGCTGAAGTGGCCTTTCGTCCTTTATTCGACATTTTTCTCTTTGGCTTTGGTACCGGCCCAATAACCACAGGGGAAACAAAGGAGTTACTCGAGGTTGTCGAGTAACTCCGATGTGTAGTTGTTGGTGGACTTGCTCTAGTATGATAGGATTGAGCTGTAGTACTTTCAGCCATCACGGCTTCATGCTCAGCTGCTAGAAAATCATTATCCGTAAAAATTCCTCTATTGCAAGGAAATAACCCAGTTTTTGAAAACCATTAATAGCAATACTTGCAGTTGACACTTTAAATATGCCTTCCCAAAAAGTTCGGCAATATCATAAGGACCCAAAGGACGTTCATTTTGACGCAACCATATACGAATCTCTTCACTATAGTGGGTTTTTAGAGCTCCCATGAAAGTCTTATCTAAGGGTTGCAGCTTGTGGGTGGAGTGCGGAGGAAGGGATACTATGGTTATGTAGTTTGCTCTAGCTAGTTCTATTATTTCCATGTTTCTTGTATGACTATAATGTCCGTCCAAGATAAGTAGAAGAGGGTCATCTATTGTTGGTTTCGTGTATTTTATGAAATGCCTAAACCAATCAGTGAATAAATTGCTTTGCACCCAACCAGATGGATGACATTTTCCAATACTTCCGAGAGGTGCGCCTCTCATCAGAGTTCAGTCATATTTTTCCTTGGGAAAATCAGCATAGGGGGAACAAATATGCCGGAAGCACTCATAGCACAAATGGTGGTCACTAGTGATCCCCTCTCAGCAGCCGTCAGCGCACCGATCTGCCGTTTCCCTTTTGACCCAACTACCTTAGGTATTTTTGTCTGAACTATAGACAATCCCGTTTCGTCAACGTTAAAAACGCGGTCAGCCGTATATTTTTTCTTTTCGTATTCCATCTCGAGGATATCAAAGAATTTAGCTACAGATTCTCTATTGAAACTGTTCGCCCGAGCATACGATGTTCCAGTTGGTGTTCGGATAGACAATCTTTGTTTATGACGATTTAAAAAATGATCCAGCCAAGCACGACCTGCTTCTTCTTTATTCCCAAACGGATGCTTTATTCCGTTTCGTACAGCCAATTGATAGGCCATTACTTTAACGTCTCTGCGGGTAAGCCCAAAATATTTGCTTTCCATCAGCAGCAGGTATTCGACTAGTTGTTGTTCAATTTCAGTAGAAAAAACGGGTTTTCTACCTAACTTTTTTTCGACAACTTGTTCGGGTGAATATTCGGTGTCGTGAACTAGTCTTTGCAAAGTGCTTTTTGGCACCTTGGTACAATTTTACAGCCTTTTCAGGCCCATTTTCTTGGAACGCACCATTTCCACAGCTTCGGCCATTGCTTGTTTGTCCCATGTTTTCTTTTGCCCTTTGCTTTCTGGGATAATGAACTCTGGGGCATAGTGCAATCTGCAACAATCCATTCCAATTTATGCACTCAGGTCAATTATAAATATGCATATAATATGGAATCTTAGCATATAATATGGACCCAGGTTCCATATTAACAGCAAGCAAGGGTTCCATATTCCAAAAAGCAACATGCTAATAATCAACTTATTTTTTTTAACTTGACATCTAAATAAACAAAAGCTACCTTCAAAACTCGATATTAGGCAACACTTTCAAGATTTAATGAACAAAATCAACGAATAAATTCACCACAAATCGCTTTATGGCTGTGAAAAAGCAGAGACAAATAACATTTGATTTTGACGCCAAAGCATAACCTCGAATTAATAGACCACCACAGTAAAATACTAGGCGATAGAAACCTTCCTGTGGGCTTCTCTCGGAACGTAATGATCAAGTTTTGGTGAACAAATCATAGATGGCGTTTCTAAATCCTTAATTATGGGGGTCCCGTATTACCAGCAGGGGTGGCCTACAGGGGGCAGTTATAAATATACAGTTGACGCGCTAGAATTTTTTTTTTTTTTTCATTCTAAAAAGTTGACGCGCTAAAATTCAAAATAAATGCTTAGTTATAAATCGTTTGTAAATAGTTCTATAAGTCGTTTATCGTTATTATTTTTGTTAATTAGTGTTAAATAAATAGTGTTTAAATAAATTGTAACTTTCTATCCACACGGAACCGACGAAAAACGTAACAATTGGTGTCAGGTGTGGGGTGTGTGATAGATTAGAAGAATAAAAAGACTGACCATGGCTCTGAAAAAATTGTTGAAAGACTTGAAAGTGTCCGAGCTGAAATGCATATTGGAAGAGAGAGAGTGCGAAACAGATGGAAAGAAAAGCATTTTGCAAGCTAGACTGAGAGACGTTTTGGTGGAGGAAGGTGAGGATCCTGACACATTTTGCTTTGAGTTGGAAGGTGACCTTGACTCGTGCCTACACAAATTAGACGACAACTTGAACAATTTGAATAGTAAAATGACAGAGAATTCTAAAAATTAGACGACAACTTGAACAATTTGAATAGTAAAATAATTGACTTGGAAGTTAATTTAGAAGAGAAATCAGTGATAAAATTAATATTTTAGAAGATAAGATCGCAGAAAATTCTAAAGACATACAGGCCAGCTTTAATAATAAAATACTTAATTTAGAAGAAAAGATAACAGAAAATTCCAGGGAATTAGAAGAAAAGATTATAGAGAATTCTACGGAGCTACAAGACAAAATAACACAAATTGAGGACGATGTAAATAAAAAAATCGAAATTTTAAAACAAGAAATAGAAAAGGCCAATTCACCAAAATGTCAAGAAATATCGGAGGCACCGAAACTAGTCGAAAATAAGTATATCTCAAAGTCAGTTATTAAGCCTCCACAGTTTGACGGAAAAACCGCTTGGGCCAATTATTTTTGCCAGTTTGAGGCCGCTGCGAGAGCGAACGGATGGACAATCGCTGAAAAGGCTACTGCTTTGACTGTCGCACTGGGAGATGCGACTGATATCCTGCAGACACTGTCACCATCGGAACAGGGAGATTATCAGCAATTGGTACGACATTTAGAAATGAGGTACGGCCAAGCTCATTTGGAACATGTCTATCATTCACAGCTAAAAAATCGCATTCAAAAGTCAAATGAGTCTCTGCAGGAGTTTGAAGCCGACGTAGCCCGCCTGGTTCGCCTTGCGTATCCTGCTACGCCCGAGAATGTTATGGAGCGGTTGGCAGTACAGACATTCTCCGATGGCTTACGTGACAGGGAGACAAGGCAAGCGCTTCTTCTAGCCCACCCAACGCGCTTGGTGGATGCTTTAGCACGTGCCCTAGAATTTGAGGCCGCGAAACAGTTCTCGGTCTCTAGTGAGAGTACGGGCGGTCAACCAATGTTCCGACAAATCCGTGGAAAGCATTGTACGGAAAGTCATGGAGGAGTACATGGGCAAGAAAGGACCGACTTGTTGCTGGAATTGCGGCCAGGCAGGACACGTAAGAAGTCACTGTCAAGAAAAAGACGTGGACTCGGTTTCGCCAAGTGTCGAATCAAAGGGACACATATGGAGCAGTACCCAACAGGTTCCAACGAAAACTGTTCAAGTCGCATCGCTACAACACAAGTTCAACAGCATTTTTGTGGCTAGTTTCGTGGATGGAGAGTTACGGACCATGCTGTTGGATACGGGTGCGACCAAAACGATCATCAGGCCGGATATCCTTAAAACATCAAAAAGGATTAAAACAACACAATGGCGACTACGTACAGCTACAGGAAGCTGCGCTCTCATCCATGGAGAGGTAGATCTTAATTTTGTTATCGGAAGCACCTGTTTTAATCATCGAGTGTTAGTAGCAGACATCGAAGATGAACTTATTCTCGGAATGGACATCGTGACCACTAGAGGTTTTGAACTAAACCTCAAACAAGAAATTTTGAAAATAAATGAAGAAGAAGTGGTTCTACATCGAAAATGTGAGGAGACGCTTCGCGTGGTAGTAGCAGAAGATGTTTCGATCCCTGAGCGCTGTGAGATATTTTTGGATGGTCGCCTGGAAGGTAAAACGAATAATGGGAGTATTATTCTGTTGGAGCCAAGGAACCATGACAGCGAAATAGGACGAGGGGTCGCTGTTGGAAAACCCCTGCTACGAGCGAAGAAGTCTGTACCGGTAAGAGTAATGAACACGAATTATCATTCTGTATCCTTGAAGAAGGGAACCCTGTTAGGGTACTGTTGTTCGGCCTCCTCAGTCATTCGAAGCGTGGAAGCCTCCAAAGTTTCGATTTCAAAAATTCCGGACAAAATGGTTAAGGAGTTAGTAAACGTTAAGGGATTATTTCCCGAAGATAGTAGAAAATTGAGAAACCTGATAATCAAGTATCAAGATGTGTTTGATAAAGGAGAAGCAGGACATAGAGGTCGTACCAATTTAGTACAACATAAAATTGACACCGGAGATGCACGACCAATCAAACAAAATCCGAGTAGACTGCCGCTCGCCAAACGTGAAGAAGCTGACAAAATCCTTCGAGAAATGAAAGAAGAGGGTGTCATCGAACCATCTAACAGCCCGTGGACATCGCCGGTAGTACTAGTAAAGAAGAAAGACGGTACCACCAGGTTCTGTGTTGATTATCGGCAACTTAATAATGTTACCAAGAAGGATAGCTATCCCCTGCCGAGGATAGACGATACTCTAGACAGGCTGGCGGGGTCAACGATATTCTCTACGTTAGATCTGAAGAGTGGATATTGGCAAGTCACATGGCGCCGAAAGACAGAGAGAAGACAGCGTTCTCGGTGGGCACCGGACTGTGGCAATTTACCGTCATGCCTTTTGGATTGTGCAACGCGCCAGCTACCTTTGAGAGACTAATGGAGTCTGTGTTAAAGGGTCTATCCTGGACTACCTGTTTAGTGTACCTGGATGACATCATAGTGGTTGGGAAATCCTTTGACGATCATCTGAAGAATTTGGAAGAAGTTTTCAAGCGACTAGGGAGCTCTGGTTTGAAACTTGGGACATGTAGTCTCCTCCCAAGGAGTTGCGGTAGATCTACAGAAGACCAAGACAGTGGAAGAGTGGCCAATACCTAAAGATAAACATGAACTACGAAGCTTTTTGGGACTATGCACATATTATCGCCGCTATGTACAGGGTTTCGCCACCATCGCAAAACCATTGACCAGACTTACCGAAGGCGAGAGGCGTTTCTCTTGGGACTCAGATTCTGACGAGGCATTCCGAAAATTGAAGAAGGACCTGACTAGTGCGCCCATACTTAGCTACCCTCTTGGCAACGGAAACTTTATATTGGATATCGACGCTAGCAATGTTGCGTTAGGCGCTATTCTGTCTCAGATCCAGGATGGTCAAGAAAAAGTCATTGGATATTTTAGTAAGACCTTGTCAAAACCGGAAAGGAACTACTGTGTAACCAGACGAGAATTACTAGCAGTAGTTAAAGCAGTGGAACACTTCTACAAGTATCTCTATGGAAGAAAGTTCTTGTTAAGAACAGACCATGCTGCTTTGAAATGGGTGTTGCAGTTTAAGAATCCTGAAGGGCAGGTAGCTAGATGGATTGAACAATTACAAGAATTTGACTTCGACACAGAACATCGAGCTGGGGCAATCCATCGGAATGCCGACGCACTTTCCAGAAGACCTTGCGCTAAGGACTGTAAGCATTGTTCCCGAGCTGAAGAGAAAGAAGTGAAACTCCTAAGAACAACTGTGGTTAATGATAGTTGGCAACCCGAAGATCTTGCAAATTACCAAACCAATGACCCAGAATTAGGTTTAGTAATTAACTGGAAAAACACAGGCCAAAGACCAACGTGGGAAGAAGTTTGCAGATATTCGCCGAACGTAAAGTCGTACTGGGCCCAGTGGAATTCCTTGGTAATAGATAACGGACTACTTCGCCGTGTGATCGAGAGACCGGAGGGACAAGAAGAGAGAAGGCAAATCGTCATTCCAAAGAAGAGGGTCCCAGAAGTCTTGGAGGAAGTTCACAATGGAACCAGCGGTGGACATCTTGGTGTTACCAAGACACTTGGCAAGCTGCGTGAACGGTTCTACTGGGTGAACTGCAAAGAAGATGTGAGGGCCTGGTATAAGAAATGTGACACTTGCGCAGCCCTCAATGGGCCATAAAAGCGTGGTAAAGCCCCTATGCGCCAGTACAATGTTGGCAGTCCCTTCGAACGAATACCGATCGACGTGGCTTGTCCTTTTCCGGAGACGAACGATGGCAACAAATACATTGTGGTACTAATAATGGACTAATAACTACTAATGGATTACTTCAGCAAATGAGTCGAGGCCTACGCGTTGCCAAATCAAGAAGCGTCCACCGTTGCTGATGCCCTTGTTAAAGAATGGATCTGCAGGTTTGGTGTTCCCATGGAGCTTCATTCAGATCAGGGAAGAAACTTTGAATCCAATCTGTTCCAAGGCGTCTGTGAAATCCTGAACATCCGAAAGACCAGGACGACTGCTCTACA